TTCGAAATTGTTGTTGCTTGAGATTGAAAATGAAAATGTGTGTGTGAGTTTGTGAGTAAATTTAAAAATTAAATTGTTTGGAAACGTCAAGAATTTTAAAAGTGACTCTCAGCGGTTCTACCTTACTATATTTTTATCATGGTAAATTGTAATTTCGAAATAATCAATTTAAAATGAGAAAGCGTCAAATAAAAATGCGAAGGCGTCATTTGTAATTGTGAATAGTCATTTGTAAATGAGGATGCTCAATGGTACTTGCGAAAGTGTCAATTTAAAATGGGAATAGTTAATTATAAATGGGAACGAGTCATATGAAAATGCGAAAGTGTTTTTTGAAAATGAGAAAGCGGCATTTGGAAATGAGAAATAAAAGTAAAATCATTACGTACCATATAATTGATTTAAAGGCGCTTATCTCTGGTAAAGCTTATTCAATGTGGTCGCTGTAAAACGCATTTTAAAACGGGGTTTTTCACGCTTTCAGAATGTTATGATCTTCATTGTTGCTGCTTGCAAGTCCCGTATTATTACAGTAAGTAAGTTAGTTAAGAAGTCAAGAAAATATTGCTGGCTGATATTCAGATGAAACGATCTCGGCCGATTTCTGTAGAAACTTTACCACGAATGACAAAGCCCATATTTTCGTCAAAAAATGCTGCTCTTTTGAATGTTTGGTAACATTTTCTGGCCATAACGTATACACATCTGCAGTTCATAATGACCTGTTTGAATCTGTTTAAATCAAGTCAATAAAAATTTTTGCTAATCGACTAACCGATTAGTCGACTAGTCCATTGATAAGAGATGTACGAAGGAGGCTAGCTGAAACGGAAATCATATTTTCTACTATGGAACGAAAAAGCTGGACTGGATTTTTATAAATTTTTTCATAAAAAAAAACCTGGAATGATTAATTAATCTGTCAGAAACTATCAGTCCTATCGGAAAGTGAGGTCTATGAAGAATTTTGTTAGCTTTCATTTGCTGTATCTCATTTTAAGATTGTTAAATTGGTTCGTAAGATAAACATGATTAAGTGGAACCACTTTTGGTTTTAAGCTGAATAACGGTAAATTGCATTGCATGCATAATTTTTGTTAGATAATGAGCTATACTTGAAAAAAAATAACTATTCAATAAACAAAAGAAAAATAGGAAAAATCTGTTTAAATGTGGTGTCCCTATATATTTTTCCACTACTGTAAATAAATAGGTTGATGTTATAGGCAAAGCATTAAATTTTTATAAAGAAATGTGTATACCTCAAGAACCGTTTTACCGATATCTACCAAGCATGGTGCGCGTACTGGTTTTGGTCTCACTTAACAATGCATTGGATATTTTTTAATTCGGTCAATAACCGCTCCCACTTTCCATATAACGGTAATTTTTAGAAACGTGCAAAAAATGGTACATAATAAGTTGTAACATTGCGTTTTATTTCCCATTCCTTGTTCGTAGCATTCCGATCCGCATCTTTCTGAGCTTTGTTGAATTTAAGGTCAGCTCCCATTTTCACCTTACGGACGAATGGTGCAGAGCCATCGCATTTTTTTACCAGATCCTACTTTTCAATCTATGTTTAGATTGTCATTAAAGCGTTTCAAAACTCGGCTCATAATTCGACGACAAACGTTAATGGTTTTGGCCATTTTTATGTGGCTCAAATTCGGATTTTATTTAAAAAAAATTTCACAATGATTTTTAGGATTTCAGATTGAGTCTAAATTTTCGGCAACCACTGATGAGCAAATGAAAAAAGTCATTATTCAGGCATTAAAACCATATGCGATGATGCGCTATCTTGTTTTTATTGGACACTTAATACGAAATTAAAAAGTACAAAAAAAAAAACAATGTTTCACCCGCACTTAAACTTCTTTACATATTTTTCTAATAAAACGACTAATAAAATTAAATGCAAGCACTTTCATAGTATCTGAAAACTTTTATGTGTAAACAAATCATTTGCTAATATTAGAACATATCAAATTCCGTTTACTCTTTACTATTTACTCCACTACTTCGTCATCATTTCTTCAGTACACCATGCACTTGTCATCCGGATTCATTTCCGCGCCTGGCGCGCAGCCAAACTCTCGCGCAAATTCCACATTATTGGCCAACACGCCATTTACGTCGAAAAGTTCCTCGGTGTGTGTGTCTAGCGGCAGGAATGTTGGTGGCGGCTCCTCCATATACCTGGCGTGGCAACGCGCTTGCGCAAAGCTTATAAAAAACAATTGTGTATTTGTAAAGTCCACACCCGGCAAAGTTTCACGCATAAGCGTCGGCCGATTGCTCGGATCGACCGATTCCAGCCAAGCAAGATAGGCCTTGAACGCCACGTTCAAACCGGCACTATCCGTCATAAGTTCGCGCAATTTGGTGACATTGTAGTAAACGTTCGGTATATTGTGCAAATAGTTGCTGTACTGCATGCGATAGCACTCGGAAATGTTATTGAAGTTCTCCATAACCAATTCATCGCGTGTAATTTCTGTTTCTTCCACGCCGTCGGGTATTACGGCGCCAACAAGCTCACGCGCAATGTGCTGTCCAATAAGCGCATACTTCAGCGAATTTGCGTAGTGATAGTCGTAGAAGGGTGGCTGCAATATGCCCCAACCGGTAAGTATACCATTTTCCACCAGCTGCATGTGCACATCCGGCGCCTCGACGATACTTTCGTCTACTTCGGGATCNGTTTACTCTTTACTATTTACTCCACTACTTCGTCATCATTTCTTCAGTACACCATGCACTTGTCATCCGGATTCATTTCCGCGCCTGGCGCGCAGCCAAACTCTCGCGCAAATTCCACATTATTGGCCAGCACACCATTTACGTCGAAAAGTTCCTCGGTGTGTGTGTCTAGCGGCAGGAATGTTGGTGGCGGCTCCTCCATATACCTGGCGTGGCAACGCGCTTGCGCAAAGCTTATAAAAAACAATTGTGTATTTGTAAAGTCCACACCCGGCAAAGTTTCACGCATAAGCGTCGGCCGATTGCTCGGATCGACCGATTCCAGCCAAGCAAGGTAGGCCTTGAACGCCACGTTCAAGCCGGCACTATCCGTCATAAGTTCGCGCAATTTGGTGACATTGTAGTAAACGTTCGGTATATTGTGCAAATAGTTGCTGTACTGCATGCGATAGCACTCGGAAATGTTATTGAAGTTCTCCATAACCAATTCATCGCGTGTAATTTCTGTTTCTTCCACGCCGTCGGGTATTACGGCGCCAACAAGCTCACGTGCAATGTGCTGTCCAATAAGCGCATACTTCAGCGAATTTGCGTAGTGATAGTCGTAGAAGGGTGGCTGCAATATGCCCCAACCGGTCAGGATGCCATTTTCCACCAGCTGCATGTGCACATCCGGCGCCTCGACGATACTTTCGTCTACTTCGGGATCACCGCCATAAAAGCGTTGACGCTCCTTGTAGCCCTTGTATTTCATGGCGATGTCCTGTTTGTGCCAGAAGTTTGTATGTTCCAACGGCAGATCTCGCAGATTGACATCCTTGTAGACGGGGAAAAGCAGCGAGTCATAAAGCATCAGCTTATTACGGAAAGCATTTTGTGCATTCTCCGGCAAACCTTCCACATTCAAAGCTTCACGCATCGCTTCCTTGATGGCGCCAAAAAGTTGCTCTACATCGCTTCTAACTTCGCTGCGCTGATATTTATTTCTATACATCTCACCGATAACCTTGGGGAAGTAGCGCATAACAAGCTCTGCGCAATATCCCGCACGTGGATTGCTGGTCTCATTGCGGGGAAAATTGATCGCGGCCAATGCACGATACATTATGTAGTTAGTCAGCGTCGGCTTGGGATTAGAGCGCGCAGCACGCGCCAGATGGTGAAAGTAACGCTCGGATTGTACGATGATCTCCGAACTCGCAACGGTAGTATTGAGACTTAATTCCAAATACTTTCTGAAATTGATTATGTTACCGAACTGCTTCGACAGATATGCCAGATTGCGTCCTTCATAAACGTGACGCTCGGTTTTGTTATCCTCCGGCGGTGGCATTGATTCTTCCTCTCTCATAAATCGGCACAACTCGAATTCAAAACGTACGATATCGCCAGCGGTGCGCTCAGTTTCGTGCTCCTTTAGCGAAAACCAAGCTTGCAGATCTTTGGACACCTCCGTCTGGAGTTGCGCGGAGATCTCTTCGCGAGCATCCGCTTCCACTGCAGATCCAGCGCTGCACAAGTGACGTGGAATCAGCGTCGTTTTCGGTTCAGTCAGGTAGATGATAGCTCTGCCCGGCAGCGAATGGCCCTTGTTTTCTACATCCATGCCAATGAGAAAATCAAAGCCATAATTGAGGCGCAGTCGCGCAATCACTTGCACCCAATCGTAGTTGCTGTTCCAGTTAGTGCCCGCGAGTAGGGGCATGCCGTGATACTCCTTAACGAAATTCATTAAGAATGCTTGCTGCAGCCCTGACGAACGGTCAACTGTTAAACAGGACTTGTAGAATTCCTTAATTTTACGTTCGTTCATATTTGGTCTTCCCTTGCTGCGTGTGTTTGCATCGAGCAGCGTCTGCACGTCTTTGCGTACACGCTGTATCAATTGCGTTTGCACGGAGATTGGCGCGTCGCCATCTTGCAGCTGCGGCTGCTGATCTGGCCATTTGCCGCATGCAAAATCATAAAAGTTGTTGCATGGATCAGCTGAGAGATCCATGTATTTGAGTACCTCTGTTGCCTTGGCGTTGCGTATGATTTGCTCTTCTCTTTCGCGTCCATTGGCACCACGTTGGCTGTCAGCTTGCAATGCGAGACAAACTAAAGCGAGCAGAGCGAAGAGCAAGAGTGGTGGCTGTGACACAAATCCAGGCATTTTCACGTTATGAAGTTGGAATCTGTACTGAAGTGCTCGCTAGCTCAAATTGTGTGGTTTCAAAAAGTTCGCTTTGATTGTTTTTTTTTTTCGTTTTTTGCAAGCAACAGCTCGTTCTGGCGATAAGCAAAGCGCCCTTCGCTCGCTCTACACAAGCTGTCGGTGCGAATTAATCGCGTCGGAACTCAATGTAGTAGCAAAGGTCAGTGATGTTTTTGTTTACATTTCCACAAATAAATCACAAAAGCTCTGAATTGCGCAAAGTGTCTGTGTTTACATAAAATTTTATAGAAATGTGCCGATTAGAAAAGCATCAACTGAGCGATTTGATTAGAAAATTCGGTTGGCGAACGACTGTTCTGGTGGTCATAAGCTTGTCGTCAAAACGCTGTATCCTACCAAATTGCCAGAAAAAAAATCAACTTATTCCCTAAAAAAACTTTTATTTGCGTGTATTTGTATATTTTTCTTAACTTAAGCTAATTCTGTAAACTAATAAATTACACATTTATCTGGCGGATTCATTTCCACACCCATCGCGCAACCAAAGTCTCTTGCGAATTCCAAAAAGTTCCTCAGTGCTCCATTAACGGCAAAACGTTCGATCGTGTGTCGTTCCCGGGGACTTAGCGTGCGCGCCCGTTCCGTCGTAGTGATTCTCCTTGTCCCCGTGCCGCCGGCATTGCAGTGCATTTGCGCAAAGGCAATGAAAAAGAGCTGCGTGTTGGTAAAATTGAATTCGGGTAAGGTTTCTTTCAACAGCTGTTCATAATCGTCCGTCGGTTGTAAGTAGGCCAGCCAATTCAGATACGCATTGAAGGCTACATTGAGCCCGGAACTCTGTGCTATGATTTCTCGCAGCAATGTAAAATTTGAAAACACCGTCGGATCGTTATACAAATAATTACTGACTTGTTGGCGGAAGCATTGGCTACGATTTTGATATTCAAACTCAGTCATGTGATCCCAATTAAGTAAGCCGTCCCTCGATGTGGACCAGGAGATGTCATCGAAGGCGCTGGCTAGCAAATTGGCCAATTTTTGCCCAATCACTGCGTAGCGCATGGCATTGGGATAATGTGTGTGATAGAGTGGTTCTTGCAGCAGTCCCCAGCCCATTTCGAAGCGTGTATGCTGCGTCGTATAGCGTATACGTGTGTCGTACGCTTCCACTTGATCGTACCGATTCTGGCGTTCTGGTGGGAAAATGCGCTGAAATTGTGCCTCTTGTCTGTCCTTCATAAGAATGTCTAAGTTGTACCAGTAATTGCTGCGATTGATATTCATATTACTAATCTCCATTTTGCCATAGACGGGGAAAAGTAGACGCATCTCTGCGAGCTTACTCTCAGCAATACGGCGTGTGTAGTCTTTGATCCATGACTTCTGTAAGCTCATACGGAAGGACTCTTTCAACTTGTCAAACATGTTGAGTACGTCATCTCTGGCGGCGACGTTCACGTGGTTTCTATAGTACATTTCGCCAAGTACCCTCGGAAAGTAGCGTTTAGCCTTTTCGAGGCAGTAGAATCCACGATTGCTGGGCTGGTCGTTGTGTGGAAAGCTCAGCGCGGATAAAGTCTGGTACATAATATAGTTGGCAATCACTGTTCTATTGGTCGTCGCTAAAGTCTTGATAAGTTGCCTAAAGTACGGTTCGGCCGCCATAAATACGGGTTTATGGATCGGTGTACCAAAGGTTGCCGCAGTGAAGTCAATTTTGTTCTCATATTGGTGCGTAAAGTCGAAGAGCGTCTTGCGTATATCGCTGTTATAGCTCTGCCAAACGGCGATAGTCGGTTGCATTGCGTTTTGCCTTTTTATGCCAGTACAAAGTTGGAATTCGAAAGCCACCAGTTCAGCCGCCACCCTTTGTGCCTTCTCCATATCGAGTGCCAGCCACATGTTGAGGTTCTCGGCAACTTCGTTTTCGATAATCGCGTATTCTTCGGCGCGTATGTCGGTCTTATTTGTGCCCTCCTCGCTACACAGCTCCGGCGGTATGAAAGTGTCTGGTTCTCCCAAATATACGCTGTCCTCAAACGGATACAAATAGTTCACATCGATTTTCACACCGACCAATATATTCATGCCATATTGGAAGCGCAACTTGCCCACCACATCTTCCCAACAGTAGTTGTGACTTTGCATGTGCCAATTAGAGCCCGGTGCTGTGGGAAAGCCGCCATGCGCTTCTATTATCTGACTAAAATATAGCTGCTGGCTCACATCATTTCGCTCCGTCGTTGTGCAGGACCTATAGAAATCTTTTAATTTGCGACCATGCACGCCGTCCTCCAGCTTGGTTTGCTCCTGCAACATGTTGCGCAAATCGTGATCGACCTTGATGCGCATATAGATTTCCGTGTTTTCCATGATGGGTTGTTGGTGCTTCGTATGAACGTAGGGTTGCTGCCAGCTGCCGCAGGCGAATTCGTAGAAGTCCAGACATGGATCGACGTGCAAATTCATGTATCTGGGCATCTCGTTGCGTTTACGTTGTGCTGTTGGATTTTTGCGCTCATTCTCCGCGGCGATAGCGACCCAAATCAGGAATAGTATTGTGCTGGTCCATAGTGCGCCTTTCAGCATAGTCGTTCACTTTGCCTTACGATGTAAGTTTGCGTACACACTACTAAGCCCCGGAGCGCACTAAATAGTGAGGCGGGCACCAGAAGTTCCGAACAGTTGCTGCTTGGCTTAGTTTCATTTATGAAATGTTGATAAGTGGAAGTGTTTGACAGGCTGTTGCATGCTATGCGATTCTAATGCTTTTTTAGTGTTAGAGGTTATCTCTAATATAAGTGTGTATGTTTCATATAATTTATTTGTACATATGCAGCATAAAATGTGAAAATTTATTTGGCGTCAAAGAGTATGAAGGCGATACTGACAACTGATTGTGAATATTTACGAGTGTACAAACTATGTAGATTGTTGATTTAGGCTTGTTGTGGGCGAGGCTTTGGAATGTAAATAAATGAAATAATAAACGAATTTAAAACTACAGTCAATAGTAGCCCAATTACTCGAGAACTGGACCGTTCAATACTTCCATTCGGAGACATAGTTGTCCATTGTGAGTGCCCTGTATGAGTGAGTCTTTGGAGGAGGAATATTCACCTAGACGAGGTTCGTTCACAAATTGGAGAGAAAGCATAATCAAGTGCGGATATCGATGTAGGAAGCGGTTGATTGATTGCTCTCCTAATTTATGGCAGCTTCTGAAAAGAGAACTCGTTAGTAGCCGTGATTAGTGAAGCGTCGTTTCAAGTTCGATATTGTTATGTCTGGGAAAACAGCGCAGAGTGACGTTGAGATTACCATTGCCACGATTTCACCTGTTTTATACCCTATGGCTTTTAAAGCTTCGGGCGAAGATTGTCCGTCTGGATTTGAGCTATTCAAGACGCTGAAGTCGTTTGGCGAAGTAAAATACTCACTTAACTGCAGCTACTCTAAGCAGAGCCCGAAACCGATCCCTTACTCCAACTTTAAACAATCGCCTCGTGCCCGAAGTTGTTTGGTTTCCACATGTGGGATTCCCTAAGCTTGAGGCCGTCCTTTGTTGATTCCCTCCTGAGGTATGGCTTTCATCGCCCGGATTTTAGCTTTATTAAAAAGTTCGAACCTTTTTTTGCCAAGTATTTGTCTGAGTTTCAAAACACAGCCTAAGCCGATTGAGATTGACCCTTGGACAGCTTTAAAGCAGACTAATATTGGTAAAATCACACCGATTAGGCCAGTCGGCACTCACGGGAGCTCGATGTACTCAGTGGTGCAGCCGGTCGACGTAAGCACTTTCTCACTTGACGTTTTTTAGTAAAACTCGACTCCAGCGCCAACTATGTTGCTCTTTTTGCAAAAGTATTGCCCTTATAGTTACCAATACATATCCCGAATATGAGCCCAAACGCATCATAAATACGAATTTTTAGTAATAATTCGACTCCAGCTCCAACTGGCGGTTCAAATTGTTAGCTGAAACTATCCAGAGATTCCCAGAAAAAAAACGGCTTTAAAAATATATATTAGTATAGATTGGAGATGGGCACGGGACTAAATGTATAATTCCAATCCCGCCAATCACGAAGTTTAGTTTTTAAATCCAGAACCCGCCCATACCTATGTTTTTCAGAATTGTACCGCGGGTCCCGAAATCTGTCACTAAGAAAAATTTACATGTCTTTCAAATTAATTTTAAATAATAATAAAAAAAGCAATGAAAGATCTGGCATTTTCCGATTATTTTGTTTTGCTTTGCTGTTCGTTTTCATCTCAATAAAACATAACATAAGGAAGATTTTCTGAATTTGCGGTTTTGCGGGGAGTGTCGGGAAAGGATTTTGGTACGGTCTCGGCGGCATAATTTTTACAAACCTTCCCCGATACCGACCATCCCGGCCAATTTGAAATCAGTACCGATCCGATCATTGATCAATTTTTATATCGAGAATTGAAGTCGGTTTTGTTTTTTTTGCTTAAAAATTACATGTTTTATCTAAATTTTGATTACATTCTTCATACATATTTTTCTCTTTCTTTTTCAGGCCATAATTCAAACTAAATTTCTATAAAATCAAAACTCATTAAACGAAAAGGCTAAGTTTATCATATCGATTTAATGCATCAGTGCGCATCAAATTTATTTCAAGAGAAACTAAGCGATAACAGCAACTACAACAGCAAAATTAAAGTGAAGTAATTATAGAGATTCGTAGTATTGATGACGGCCCATTAACACCGCAAACGAACGCCAGCAGATTTGCAAAACACCTTTCGCACAGCAAATCGCCGCAATATTCAGGTGTTTGGTGAAGGAACGAAAGGAACTCTTGAACACGGTAGGTGTAAAATTCATGTAAAATAATAGCCATAAAGTAGTTTATCATCATTTAACATTTTAATCACTTTCACTTCACACACACAGACACATACGTACGTAATAGAATAAAAAAAAGTACGAGTTAGTATAAATGAAAATTGCAAATTTTCGCCATCAAAAAGCTTTGACTTTTTTGATAGTTTTTTTTTTTAATGGTGTTAATAGGTTTATAGATTTAGCTTTACTATAGTTTAGAGTTCGAAACTCTTAGCTCCCATTGTAACTTCCACTGTCTGTAAATACATTAGCGCGAAAGTGGCTTGCCAAAAAATTAAAAGTTTTTTGTGCCAACTTGCAGTTTGTTTTTTTTTTTTTTGGGAACTCACCGCTTGGTTGCATGATGCTTTGGCATAAATTTTGGCAAGTTTTGGGTGCAAGAGTTCAGGCATCGTAGTTAGTCCTTGGTGCAAATGTGCACCAAGCGCAGGTTGATATACATATTAGGAACAAATAAAAGAGAAAAGCATAAAAAGAAATCGCTAGCTTAGAGTGAAAAGTTGCTAAGACCCATTTTACAAATTTAACAGGGGAGGAAAAAACTTCTTATAGCCATTTTCTTCACGTATTTCGCAAAAATTTTATCAAAAGATTTCGAGTTATTTTGGCCTTACCAAATTTTCGTTTTATTGAAGAAATATAAAAGGGGAAAATAAAATAACGTCCTTATTTCTTTAGTAGTTACTGAATTATCGGAGACTTCGGATTTCTCTAAATTACCGTTATATCGGATGTGGGCGTGGTTGTTGTCCGATTTTAGGAATTTTTAACCGTTTGCTATGTTGTTTCAAGGTCAATAAACTGTGCCAAGTTTGGGAGAAATTGGTAGAGCGGCTACGCCCACTTTCCAAAAATTTTCAATATTATTATTTTCCGCCTAAAGATAATTGTAAATATCAGTTTTGATTGACTAAGCGTAATTAGTTACTCAAATATTGCAGTTTTTGTATTTTTGAAAACTACCTTTATATGGGAGGGTGGCGTCGTTAATGACCGATTTTTTTCCATTTTCAATACCATCCGTCCCTAGCTCTAAAGAAATACATGTACCAAGTTTTGTTAAAATATCTCAAGGACGGACAGACAAGCGGCTTAATCGATTTTTTTTCATTCTGGGCATTTTGCTATGTATAACTATATATGTCTATATATATCTCGATTCCTTTAGGTCGCTTGTTTTATCTACTCAAGTCTGGTGAGTTTGTACTCTGTAGAACCTTTGCATTCTTGTGGAACTATTTACGAAACTAGTGAACTAATCAGAGGCAGAAGATTAAAGATTTTCTTCAGGAAAGTTCTTTGACTCACATTTCAGGAGTTAAATCCTATTTTATGATTTATAACTTTAATTTGGTTGCATTTTGGGCCAAATTTCTTTGCAAAGTAGTTCAAAATTTCTGAGGCCTTAACATTTGTGAACAAACCAAATCCTAAAATATAAGTCTTGCACACTTTTAGATAGAAAATCTAAAAGCAGTTGGCATAAACAAAAAAAAAAAATGATTTCAGTTGGCCATTTTTCTGTTACCACCACCTTACTTCCAAAAAAGGAGGAGGTTATCAGTTCGTCGGAATCTTTTTTTTTTTTTTTTTTTTTTTTGTAT